GTGTGTGTGTGTGTGTGTGTGTGTGTGTGTGTGTGTGTGTCTGTCTATGCCAGACATCGACCCATGTCGTCAGTTGAGGGAGATTATGACAGCCGTTTAAAGTAGAAAAGGCGCCACAAGTTCAGAGGGTATCGATCAGGTGTGTGAGTGCCTCACAACTAAAATAAGAATAAAAATAAACAAGTCTCCATAAAACTTATAACTGCTCTTTGTTATTTAATATATATATTTCTACATTTTTAGGGCTTCTCCTGCAGCCCACTTGACTGTGTGTGCCACATATAAATAATTGAGTACCCCGTCTTTCCTCTGTCTCTCTGCAGGTATTCGGCCCCAGATTATGAACGGGCCCATGCACCCGCGCCCCCTGGTGGCGCTGCTGGACGGGCGCGACTGCACCGTGGAGATGCCCATCCTCAAAGATCTGGCCACGGTGGCYTTCTGCGACGCCCAGTCCACGCAAGAGATCCACGAAAAGGTAGAGCAACCGACCATTAGGGGAAGCAGCGCGCGCTATTACTGACATCAAGTTTGAATAATTCCTCCCACGGCTGCAGATCGTTGTTACAAAGATAAAACCAGACGTGATGCCATGATAAACCTGCATTCTCTTCTTTCCTCTCTTTCATTTGGATCATCATAATGCTAACGTGTGGCACATGGGTCACTGTCAAAGCTGTTTAAGTACAATTACTTTGTTTACAGTACTTAAGTGATTTCCTTGAGGATGTGTAACTTTAAATATTTWGACCTTTCTTCTTTGACCACCCTATTATAATCTTTCAGCAGATTTTTCATGYTAATAAAGTCACAGCTCAGATTATAAGATTTATATTTTTGCTCAGCACGTCTACATGCCCTCCTAATGGATCGGACACGATCATTAATCCAAGGTGCTGGCCACAGTGTCTATAGTTGCTGCACATCTGCTTAAAAATTCTGTTGCTCGCTCATCTGTAGGACGAGATGAATTTGGCTGTTGGAGCTGAGGAAAATCTTGATAAATTTTACAAAACTGTCCCACTGTCTAAGATGTGATAGGTCTAAAACGATGAGAAGTTTGGTCATTCGAGGTCTCAACTGCTAAAAGAAAACTAAATAAAATGGCATCATGATCAGAGACATGCATATTGCTAATAKAAAGATTAAATATGCTAAGGCCTAATGTAATAATTAAATCAAGAGTGTGACCATATTCATGTGTACGACCAGAGACATGCTGACTGCAGTCAAAAGTGTAAATAAGCTCAATGAATTCAGATGCAAATCCATCATCCTGATCATCAACATGAATATTGAAGTCACCAAGAAGAATAACTTTCTCATAACTAAGAGCAATAATAGAAAGAAGATTACCAAATTCAGTTAGAAAGTCACCCACAGGGCCAGGGGGACGATATAGTAGCAACCCAATAAGAACAGAACGCTTGCAAAAATAAAATGTTAAAATTTCAAATGAAATAAAATTGCCTGTAGTTATAGGTGTACATTTATTACTGTTTTTAAAAATAACTGCAACACCCCCACCACCACCACCACCACGACCTGATAGCCTCGGAGAATTCAGAAAAAGAGAACCCAGGAGGACAGGCCTCAATTAAAGGGGCATCAAAATCAACCCAGGTCTTAAGTTAAAAACATAAAATCAAGAGCGTTTAAAGAAATAAAATCATTAACTAAAWAAAGACTTATTAGAAATAGATCTGACATTCCATAAACCACCATTTAAAAGTGTGCTACCGCCATGAAAAGCAGGAACAGTTTTTTATGGTGATTAAACTGGATGAGGCCCTCCTCATGGTTCTCTGACATCGGTAACTTCTGTGATGATAATGAGAGCAAACAGAGCATGTGCACTTCCTGTCTGTAACTCTAACAGGGAYAGAACAGACAACAAATGGAGCAGCAACAGCAGGACCCTCCCTACGTWAAATAAAGCTGGAAGACACTGTATGAAGCTGAGCAGGGTCATGCTGTAAAAAAACATCAATTACAAACCTAAATGATTACACCGTGTCATTATTTACTTAACTGCACCGGAGATGTCGGGKAAGTGTTTGAAGAGCAGAAGCAGCAACATGCTGCTAATCAAACACGCTCGGTTAAATGATGCTTATTAGGTGTGAGCTCCTTCACAGAGGCAGAATCTGACATTTTGTCTGATATTTTTCTTTTTTTTTCTTGTTAAAGTTGAACCCTTTACAGCTTTGCTTTGTAGAGTTAAAATGTAGCATTCAAAACAATACACTTTTAAATGAAACGGACGTTTTTTAAAGGACTGTCAATGTTTGTCTTGCGAATGAGTCTCAGCTACATTTTAGCTCAATCTCTGTAAAAACTAATGAGTTAAAGCAGTTTTTGTTTTACCTATACTYGATTAGCTGTGGCAGCCAACTTCAAATGGGTTGACTTCAAAAGTTAATCAGCTGTAAACATGCGTCCAGTAAGTTCTGATAGTTTTATTGAAATCCATCCAATGGTTCATGAGATATTTTGCTAACAGACCTACTCAACTGCACAATTAGTCGCTTTTCCTGCCTACATCTCCCTAAACTTCTCCAACAATATTATTTGAACTGTTTGCTTTCTGCTCAGTGCATATATTATATACAGTATATATAT